GCTCGTCGGGATCTATCTGGTGAGGTGTGTCTCCAGGTTGGAGAGCACCGTGGAGCGAATCGCGACAGGTTTTACAGATTTGCCGGTAATTTTTGCTGTTCTTTTTGAAGTACTTTTAGTGTTTTTTTGAAGAGTGGGAGGGCCCTTTCGAAAAACAAAGGTGTACATCGGATAGAGCTCGTCAGGGTCTACTTCAAGAGCATTGTTGCGCGAACCCATTTAGAAAAAAATCGAATCCTGGTATAAGATATCCTACGTTGATTTCATTCGATTTACCGTGAGTTTAAGGTGATTTAAGGTGATTTAGGATGAGTTAAGGTGATTTAGAATGAGTTAAAGTGATTTTTTGATTTAATTTGATTTTTTTTATTTAAAATGATTTTTTTGATTTAAAGTGATTCATTTGATTTAATTTTGATTTTTAGCTGAGTTAAATCAGCTTTTCCCCCGTTGCTTTTCTCTCATTCTTCATCGATGTATAAACTCACGTTCTCCGTTGTTGAATCATTTTAATAGAGATACAAACTTTTGTAAAATATTACTTCATCATATTTTCTGAGCACACAATCGAAAATTTCAATGCTTTTATCAAAGAAATTGTTAACGAAGTGTCTCTCATATGTGAACAGTCTTTTATATATATATACATCAACATGTTCATGATTAAGTGAGAAACTGAACCAAATGATTTCATTAACTCTAATAGTAATTAAGATTTTGGCATAATTGATAAATTATACTTATCTTGATAATTCTCTAATATATGTTCTATGAACAATATGATTTAGATATATAAAACAAAGTTTTAATAATTATTTAATAAGCAAGTAAGAATCAAATTGATAATGTCTGTTCAGTAGATGGAAAAGTCGCTAAAAACAATTATTTCATATATTGGATATAATGTTATATATGATTATATTGGATTGAAATAGCAAAAGAAAATGACAACATTAAGATTAATATAATAAAACAAAGTACATTAGCGTATATACAAAAATACATCAACACGCTTATTAAACAACGTTACCTAGAGGAAATATATTTTCATTCTGCTTTTCTTTATATATGACTTTGCAACAATACAAATGATGAAATTTATGAAAATAAGGTTTAATAATGAATAAAAAATATGATTGGTCAGATTGTTTATGTGTTGAATTCGAAGATCTGTTGTTATGAAAGTAGATCATCTAATGAATAAATAAAAAAAATACATTATGATCAACAACTAATATACAATTATCTGATTCGACTATAAAGAATCAAGATTCGATAAGTCCATCCCTCTTTTCATGTGCTTAGATCAGCATAAGATATATTTTGAACTTTTAAATAGTGTTTAAAAAGTCACATACATGTTTTATTCAACTTGAAAAAAATCAAACGTCTGTCAAAAATGCTCTTAGTCTAATTTGATATATGTAGATTAAAACATTCAAATTTTATATTGGAGCATCAACTTTCTATTTGAAATTAAAAAAACAATTAATAATAGAAGTGAAAACGTTTTAAGAAAATCTTATTTATACATAGTTCTATTTAATATCAATAGAATAAAAACAAACAATATATGTAACACTTGTTACTGTGAAACATTCTTTGAAAAAAAACACTTATTTTATTTTCCTACGCTCTACAAAGCCAGAGAACGAGAAAGACAGCAACATATCTAAGTATGAAAGAATATCATCTTCTTTAATAATTAATATACAAAATAAATCTTTTCTCTTTGTAAAACAAATCTTTGATCTTTTATTTAACATTCACTTACTTTCATATCTATCAAGTACTCGACGACACGAATAATTAGTAGTGAAATTCCAAATAATACCGTGCCGAACATAACATAACCCAATAATCGTGTTGAACCATTTGTTCTTTTCTATAAATCATTTAGAAAATAAGTTATAATAATTGGCAAACATCATCAACATACAATGAAATCTATTAAACCTTTCAACATAAAGATTGTTGGCACAAAAACGGCGATCCAACCCGGAATAAAGATTAATGGATGAAAACGAGACCATACCGAATATAATTTACGACTTTCTTCATCAGATTCAGATAATGAATTTACTTGAATCTCTTCAGTACTCATCTAAAAAAATGATAATATATTGTTAGTAATAGCAAATGCACATATTTATATTTCAATCATCATTAAGATATCTCAAAGATACGATTCAATTAAATAAATTTAATTCTAATCTTAATGTGTTTTATACTACGTGTCTTCTTGACAGCAGACGTTTTTTCTTAATTAGAGGAAAAAATGTCCGCAGAGCAGAATCAAGCGGACAAATCAAAATGTCACCGTAATCAAAACAAATAAAAAATATATTAGAAGATGATCCTTGCAGATAGCTAGATTGAAGAATATCAACTATTTCAAGCTACTCTAGTGTTGACCGTCATATGTCGTCCAGGCCATTTTGTAAACGTGTATTGTTAAAGGAAAAAATTTAAAGTGACAAGGATAAGCCTAGATGAATTAAATCAAATGTCCATCATAAACCCTGATAGCTTTTTTCTAATTACCAGTGTCTGATAAAAGTACATTCATTTATTTGATACAGCTGACAAGGATGATCTTGATTATGAATATAAAACCAATTAAATGCCTAAGTATTTCTCGTAACTGATTTTTGTGCATTTTTTCACACACTTAATCTTGTCTTGTTTCTACTCGTGATCCTGTTTTGCAGATATTTTTCACTTTGCGATCATTTTTGGAGGGGGGGGGGG